AGTAGGAAGTTGCAGCTATGAGTACACGCAATCCCAATGAAAGACCTGTGAGTGTGTACAAAGAATACAGAGGAATTATTATACACAAAAGACTTGTGACTGTGCACAGGGCAGGGAAGTTTCCCACTACAAAAAAAAATGAAAGAATGAACAATTGAAGATAGAGTGAAAATGTGCATGTGGGTGGTGTCTCAGACACCTTTTCTCTTTTGATATACAAATATAAAAATATAGATTTGCTGCAATATTATGATAAACTTGCTCCGGATCAAATCAAACAAATGATGAGATGATTGTATTATATCACTCTGTCAATTTATTTCATAAAAAGGACACCGAGTTATATTTGAGACTTGACTAAATGTTGTTGTCGTGTGTCTGTACATCTTTGTTTTGTGGGGGAAACATGACACTAAAGTGCAGAAAAAAGCAGAAAGAGAAAAATAAGAGGCAGTCTGCATGAGTGTATGTTTGGTCTCTGTCATGCGCTGAATGATGGTCATATCATTATTCAGCTTGGCTTGATTCCTCACTTAAATCTTATTATCTCCCCATAGATGCCTGTCAATCAAACATTAGATAGATAGATAGATCATAATCATAAGATTCATGCTTGATTAACCATGTAATTAGTTTATTCTTTTATTCACTCAGGAAATATCAAAAATGCTGCACATGCTGAGAGACGACTTGAAAGAGATCCGCTTGCAGACTCTGTGAACCTTTGCTGCTCTCTGCCTCCACCAGCTGATCCTTCCAATCTGATCCTGCCATGCTGAGTGTAGTGCTCTGGCCCAGGTCTTTGGCCAGTTCTGCCCATTACTGGCCTCTCCACATGCTCCTGCTGGAGCTGTTGATACCTGGAGTTCTGTCCAACATCTCCAGATTACCCCCCACGGCCAAACATGAGATCATCATAGAAGGGGACTTGGTGATTGGAGGCCTGTTCCCTGTGCATGAAAAAGGTGATGGGACGGAGGACTGTGGTAAGATCAATGAGGAGAGAGGGATCCAGAGACTGGAGGCCATGCTGTTGGCACTTGATGAGATTAACTCCAGCGATCGCATCCTTCCCGGACTCCAGCTGGGGGCCCACATCCTAGACACCTGTTCAAAGGACACCTATGCTCTGGAGCAGTCCCTAGATTTTGTCAGGGCTTCCCTCACCAAGGTGCATGATCCAGGCTTCATTTGCCCAGATGGCTCCAGACCCATCCAAAATGAGGTTACACTGGCCATCTCTGGGGTCATTGGAGGATCCTACAGTGACGTTTCCATTCAGGTAAATGGACATTTTAACCCTCTGCACGCTAAAGTCCTAATTGTGTACTAGTCCCTTGGGCAAATTGCTATTTTGTAATTGTTATGTATGACTTTTTTGCAAATATTTCAATGGACTCGTGCTTTTAAGGATTTGCCAGTTTTTTGCAGAAAATGCATTCAGTCATTCAGAATTCATACTTGGGATAAACTTCACTTGCTTACACCCCACGCTCACATCCATAAATACAGATAAATACTAGGAATATTCTGCATCTCCACTTTTACTGAACTGTAGGACTGAGCATTCAGTGGAAGAGATTTTGCTTTGGCTGGAGTAAGAATCCACCTGGGATGATTCTGTTTGAAGTGGTAGCATCACTTTGTCAGCAACTTCATTTTCGTCTTCCAAACAGAACTGACCTTTCACACACACAGAAAAGGTTGCCAGAGGCAATGCATCTGAGCATGATTAATTCATTGCAAATGCCCTCACACACCATAATTACCATAATGCACTGGGTGTTAGTGAGACAAAGTGTGTAGGAATAGTTCTGTTACACTTGCAATTAACTCTGGTTCATTACACTTTTATTACACAAACTCAAACCCAAATACATGCAGAGTAAGCTTTTTTTATTTATGACCAAACTTTTGAAAAGTAAACTATCAGCAAATTAGTTAGGTTTAGTCACAGAGACTTGATTTGTTTTCAGACAGGTTACAGTCCAGTGGAGCCATGCTTGTATACTTGAAAGTTGTTACCTGTTTGGTTGACTGGTTGCACACTAAATGGACATTTACTAACTAGTAGTGAGTGTGGGGCACTCACAAATAATAAAACTACCATTATAATTTGCTACTAATGTCACTGTCCCTGCCCACTGTCTTACTTTCTCCAGTTGTGACCAAACAATGAGAGGCAGTACAGATTGACTTGTTCAAATGGTGCGGTTTATCACATGGAAACATTGGTAAAACAATGATTACCAGCTTCATGCTTTAGTAGCACCTAAATAATACTGCTAACTGCAAATTTCATCCAACTCTGCAACAGTGCTTCTTTTCCACAGGAGCTCTCTTTAAAAACACAAAGAATACGCTGTTTCTTAAGGCTTAAATGCTGTGATGGGAAACACTGAAAAATATATGCTGATGAATGCAAATGACATTTTAAGCCATTTACAAAAGTGTTAAATTGTTCAGTAGGTTAATGCATTTCAAATAACTTATTTCTTGATGCTGTGTGAATATTTTATTACCATATTTATGAACACTAGGATTGATTGTAAAGATAAAATAATGATGCTGATGAATGGATTCTAGTGTTTCCCAGTTCCCACTGAGAATTTAATGACAAGCCCACAGAGTGAGGTGGCATTTAGAAATGTATTTTTGTCCATAAAATTTAGGATAAACAATGTAAGAGCAGTCTTTACCAACTCCTGAGAGATATAACTGGTTCTTAGCCACTACTATAAATGCTCCACTGTGTTCACAAGCTAGTCTCTGTCCACCTGCTGTTTGCTAATCAGCAGGTTGTGTACAGTGGATTTTAGGGCTTTTTCCACTGAAAACAGACATCTTAATAATGGGCTGAATCTTGATATAAATCTCTGTAATGCAAAGGCACTGCAAATTTGGGTGAGAATTCTCTGTAGGTCCTTCACTACAAGCAAGACTTCTCACATTGTCATTTGATGCACTGTTTTCATTTTCTTATTGCATTTCTGTTAAATCATATTTGTGACTCATATTTTATATTAAATTCTTATTTATTTTCTTGTCGAGAGTTAAATGAGAACATTGATACCACTCCCATGTCTGTCTGATAAATACAAAACTAGAGGCAGGAGATGGTTAGCTTAGCATAGCACAAATAATAGAATCAGAGGGAACTAGCTAACCTGACTGTTAAAACTGACCTGCACCTCTAAAGCTCACTAATTGACAAATTTGATCTCATTTTTAATCTATACAAAACTCAAAGTGTAAAAACAAGTTGTGCCATATTAGCTAAACTAAATGTCTACTGACTTTAGCAATATAAATTAATGTTGCGATTCTTCTTGCCTTAGATTTCATAAAGAGTGTGTTGGCTGGCTCTTGATAACCAAAATTACTATGGTTCTCCTTTTGGGTGTATGACAATTGGATTTATAATTGAGTTATAATTCCCCATTTCTCCACACAATAATTAATATATGTGAAACTTGCTCTTGTTAATGTCTACTAAAACAACACCAGAACACAATGCAGTCTAGATAACTTCTTTATATGTGACTGTAGTGTTGAATGCTTCATGGCAGACTGGACTTGGATGTCCACATTACCATGTTGGAATCATTTAAACCCCCTCCCCCCCAAACACAGACCCAGTCACTTAGAAAGAAGTGGATAATATGGGTCTTCGCCTGTAATGTTGATGACATCTTGACAAAAGAACAGTATGTTTTTATGAAGCGTGAAAAGGACCGTCTGTGAATGAGTCTTCAGTGACCACACATGCAAGACTCACAAAGAAACCCACTACTTTTGAGTGTTTTTGTATGAATTTGAATACATACCTCTACTATAATGAACAGTCCCTTTGTTAAGTGCATTTGGTGACTAAGCAGTATAATGAATCGAGCTGTGAGAGCGAATAGAGGTCCATGGTGGGATTTTTTTTTTTCTTGTAAGAGGTCGCTGTTTTAAACAGTCCCTTTTTATCCCGCTGAAGCACTTTGTGGAGATGAAGGGCGTTATAAAACTGTGGAGGACAAGTGCCAGAGACAGTCCCAGGGAACTTTGAGAGGAGATGCTTTTCCCATCTGTGGGGTGCATCTTCATTGGCTGGCAGAGACATTTCCACCTGCGTGTGGAGAGGAGGCTGATGCTGCCTGTGGCGAAGGCCAAGGACGAGATGTGGGAACGACGGTGGGAGACAAGCCAGTTTCTCTTCAGCCTCAAAAGGATTCTTTCATAATTAACCTAACAATATTTAGGAGGCTTTCACCATCGTCTTACTCATCCTGGTGTATGTTCTTGTTAGGCCTTCTCACTGTTTAATTTTTTTCTTTGAATGTGTCTTTATTGCCATTTTAGATATTAGCGGTATCAACCAAGAGCGGTGACTCAGTCTTAACAGCCTACACATTTTACAGCTATGAATTTAACCTATGATTACTGAGAAATAATCATAATCAGATATAAAATGTCTATAAAATTATTAAGAACTATTCCATCACTGTTTTATGCTCAGATAAACAAAATCTGTCTTCAAACTTATTAGTCACTATTCTTTCACAGGTCTGCTTTTAAAACCTGAAATTTTCTTAAAGGCAGAACTTGAACATGGATTTTTTTCAAATTATTTGAACAAATCCACACTAAAGCTGTTGCACAAGTCCTTACATAATTGAACACACGTGTCCACTATATAATCTGTGTTGGACTGTTCAGTAAACTATCTCATACAGTAAATTAAACATGAACTGCTCTCCCTTCAGTCCAGTGTTATTGGTAATGTAGAATCCTAAAGTGGTAATATTGTAAGTCACCACTGCTGCAGCTGCTGGAAGGTCCTCAGTAATTTGAATTTATAAGAGAAATTTGTCCCGCTGTACTGTGGATTGATGTTTAATATTTTTGGTTTGCAGTGGTTTATTACATCTGTTGATGTGTTGCGCAGAGGAACTGAAGAGGACTCTGTCTTTATAGTGTTTCTGTCTTTGTATCGTTCCTTTTTTGTGTCAGATGTAAAAAAAAAAACTGCTTTGGTGTTAACTTCAAAAGGGTCTTGTTTATCATGTGATATTATAGCTCACCCCCACCCAATCTGTTATTTTTGAACTTGGAAATTTTAGCACATTTGGAGAACACAGCTCGACTCCCTAATTAGCACCAGAATGTCATTCTAAGTGAAGAGAAACGCTGTAATGACTGGAAGCTTGGTTAGAGTCAGGACCTACACGATCAATGATATTGCTTGTCTGTCAATTTCCAGACACACTTCCCTTCATCCTGTCTGTCTTAGAGCTGTTGTTTTTTCACACGGTATCATAGGAATACATTATCAGTCTTTGCTGCGGCTGTTTCCTAAAATGATGCTCAAGATTGTGTGCCAGGAGCATTGTTCTCCAGTCATAATAACAGTAGGAATTACTGGACATATAAAGTTTATTTCATAAATGCTAGAGGCTAGAAGTGATATTTCAAAGCTTTAAGCCAAGCAGATGATACATTTTTCTCAGATGTATCTCTGTACTTTGGAGCAGCGTGAAAGGTCGATCTTGTGATGAGCAGTGTTGCTGGCTGGAGGAAATAATAGATAGATATAAGCTGAATGTGAAGAATTGTCTCTTCCTGTAAAGAGCATGCATGCAGATCAACATGCATTTCTTTCTACCAGTGCATTCCCATATACTCTATACAAGTGATGAGATCACCCATAACTCCGACCCACAGACACGGTCTGATGCACATCTGCCGTGTTGATGATCTTATTTGGCCTTTGCTGTATTTTCTAGTTTCGAGTTTCTATTTTGGTGTCTGTATTTGTTTTGTGTGCATGCATGCCTGTATCTGGGATTTAAATCTACAGAGTGGATGTGGCTTTGTTGGGTGTGTGGGTGTCTGTACATACAGCACTCGCTTGTAAAGGAATGTGATAAATAAATCACTTTTGTTGCCTAGCTCTGTATTAATTAAATAATACTTCACATAAAATCTCATCCAATTCTGAAATCAGGCCAAAAGCTATTGTAAAAATACGTTGTATTGTTGGCCATATCTTTAACTCAAAATACACTCATCTATATAGCTGTATAGCTATATACCTGGTCTCCTAGGAATTGCATTTATACATTACTAGACTGCTTTTGCCAGTTATACTGTGGTAGGACTTATACTGCATGTACTGCACCAGAGCTGCAGGGTGGTGGTCTGTGTGAATGGGAGATAAAATGAAGAATTGTGACACCAGAGTTCATGATTTGGATCACGAGTACCATCTATAATTAGGTGTAGGCAACAGTTAAA